CCGCCAGAAGAAACCGCTTTGAAGATTCACTGCATTTGAATTTAGTGAAGAGGGAAATCTGGTCATCATCGACGTCAGTCAAGACCCGAAATTTTTTACCTAATTAAACAATACCTGTTGGGTGACTCCTGCTGGAAAAGATCTTCACACCTATAGATCTTTGATAAGCAAGGTGAAGAGACCAAACTTTCTGTGGACCCTATCCGCGGGATGAGGCACAAACCTTATGTAGTAAGAATGAAGATTGACACAACTCATTGATGGATCCCAATTATGGTTTAACAAGCATCTCATACAGTTCACCTTGTGAACAGCAAGAAAAAAATAAAATGTCTTTATATAATAAGTGAACAGCATAGACAAGTTAGATATATATAACTGAACCACTCATGCACCGTACCGTCAGCGTTATCAAAATCAAATTCATTATCTGACAATTCGTCCTCAATTTCATCCTTTGAATCTGGCAACAGAAAACCAAAGTTGCGCAACTCATTCACAAGCATTCTTTTTAGCAGCTTCAATCGAAGGTAAAACTATGTGGCAGATATTTCCGCCAAATTCGTCCATAGGATTGAATTGGAACTCTGGCTTGGGCTGAACAAAATCTGAGGGAAGAAAATAAGGCAAATGGAAATGCAATTATGACAAGAACAAGCACCCATTTACTGTGAAAGTTGAAAACAGAAGATTGGAAGTCTTACTCATCATGTGGGAGCCTAGAACAATATTTATACCGAAGGAAGGGAGATGCTACTTCCACCACTAATACAAGCTCCTGTCTCATGAACTCTATACACCTCCTCACCAATTCTAGGACAGGTTTCCTCTGACGTTCTTGAAGTTATTTCCCGATTCATTCGATCTTCATATACTTAAAAGATTTCAATCAGATCCATCTCTTTTTCGTTTCCGCTGAAAGAAACAATGTTAATCGTGTAGGGAGGAAAAGCGGACTCTGGCCTCATTATTTTCTCATTCCTACACAACTGTCGACTAGAAACGCATATTGAGACTGAGGCATTCTAGCACGGCCTCAGACTGAGGCATTGGGTCACACTGTTAGCATCATCCTGAAAACTGTTGAAAGAAAAAAACATCAACGTAAAGATTGCAGATAATTGATATGTTTATTCACCATTCTTTCTATGTCAGAAATCTTTCCACTTTCAACTCAATGATTCATAATTCTATATGTTGGTATATTATTCTAGGAGACCACTTGCTTGTATGTTCTCGGCAAGAATATCTAGACCATATAAATTTGCAGCACGTACACTCGCGATTGCTCCTATGTCCCTCTTACCGCTTGAAGAAACAGTCTGAAAAAACACTTTTTTATATTCAATTATTTCAAAGGGGAGAAAAGTATAAACCTTTTATGTAAAATGAACTGAAAAACTCGTTATCTGTCACCTGAGCAGCAGTGGCAGTGTCTTTTGCAGAAACTCTCTGTATGCCTAAATCGTTAAGTGATTTCACACATTGATCAAGCGCCTGCAGAGAAAAAAATGTACTCAAATCAAAGAACTTACAAGCACCTAAAGGAAATGGTAGCAGAAGAACCTGAGGATGGSTAAGAACGCGTTTAATATCTTCCTTTTTCACACCAGGCACTCCCAAGAGACAATGATTTACAGGCAAATGGACTTCTTGGACAATGTGAAGCCTGTGACGAAGAAGCAAATCATAATTACGGTGGATACTACCACCTACTGAATTCTCAATCGGTAATACTGCTTTATCCACCAACCACAGCTCAACAGCCTGAAGAAACAATCATCGTAAAGCATCAATACTATTTATGTGGGGGTATGAATATGTTAGAGGTGACTGATAAATCAACACCTGAAATGCAGTTTCAAACTGTTCACATGGCACAGTTTCACAATTTGGATATGCTTTTAGTGCTGCTGTCTCGCTATATGCACCCGGTAAGCCCTGCAAGTGGAGAATGTATGTAAAATACCAACAAATGAAAGAAGAGAAATACAAATTTGCAGTTAGGAGAGGAAAGTAACATTTCACCTGAAACGAAATTCGCACTTTTGAATCATCGCCATCAGAAGAGTAAAGGCTGTTTGCAGTTAGAGGTTCTGTAATCAACCATAAATGTTAGGACTTGCAGTGGGGAGAGATAAAGAAAAAGGAATTAGCTCGATAATAACAAGGATATGTCAGACAATGCATATGAGTTTCATAATACTTTTGGGGCTTGGTACGTTACTTCATTAACAACATTTGGAAAAGAGAGTATCATTTCACTCGAAGTAGATCAATAACACGTAGCAAGCCCTAAGGCGCGATGCAAACGACAATGATTGGTCTATTAATGAGACTACACGACAAGAAAGATCGAGTCTGAAACATCAAATGCAGCTCTAATATGGACAAAAGAATCCAGTATTAGCAAAACATAATGCGTAGTCCATTTTCAAAAACAGATCGATACACGAGTAGTAAGCCCTAAGGTGCGATGCAAACGACAATGATTGATATATATATATGAGAATACATGACAAGAAAGATCGAATCTGAAACATCAAATGCAGCTACTAATATGGAAAAAGAATCCAGTTTTAACAAAAAAATATCTGAGTACTCCATTTTTCAATGCAGATCGACACATGTAGCAAGCRCTATGCTGCGATATAAATGACAATGATTGTTCTATTTATGAGACTACATGACAAGAAATATCGTATCTGAAACATCAAACAAAACTACTAATATGGAAGCTAGTATTGACAAAACATATCGAGTATTCCATTTTCAAAATAGATCGATACACGTGTGGAGCATGCCCTATGTCACAATACAAATGAAACTGATCGATCAATTTATGAGACCACACGACAACAAAGATCGAATCTGAAAATCAAATGCAGCTGCCAATATGGAGAAGAAAGAAGAAAGAATCTAGTAACAAAACATATCTCCATTTTCATGAACAATGTTTTGAAATTCGATTATAGTCTCAGGCAAAACAGATCGATTCACGTGTAGCAAAGCCCCCATGCCACAATGCAATTGACAATGATTGATCCAATTACGAGACTACACAATATGAAAGACCGAATCTGAAACATCAAATCCAGCTACTAATATGTTATATAAAGGAACCTAATGTCAAACTCAAACGACATTGTATCATTCACGGAATCAAGAAATCGACATAGGCGAGAAATCATTAGTAATGTAATGTCAAATGTAACTGACGAAACAACTCTTAAATTCATAAAATCTAGAGAACAGAGTACTTTAATACAACTATATCGAAAGAAAAACACAAACCAGCAAAGATTTCCTGTAAAAAGATACAAGTAACATGATCATTGATATGAATGTGGAACCTGTAATGATCTCTCATCTGCTTAAACAAAGGATCCCAAAACTCCAAAATTCAGCTAAACAAGCCCCTAAGATCTACAATTTCCAAGTGGATGATCTCATAAACACAAACAACCAATCAACATTTCCACGTGAACACC